GAAGGAAGGAAGGAAGGAAGGAAGGAAGGAAGGAAGGAAGGAAGGAAAAAATTAGCCAGGCATGGTGGTGCGTGCCTGTGGTCCCAGCTACTTCAGAGGCTGAGGTATGAGAATCACTTGAACCATGAGGCAGAGGTTGTAGTGAGACAAGATTGAGCCCCTGTACTCCAGCCTGGGTGATAGAGTGAGACCCTGTCTTGGAAAATAAAAATAAAAAGAAGGTGATTTTGCTTTATCCAGACTAATTTGTTGCATATTTCATTGCCCTTATTACCTGCTCCACACACGCAGTTTTTAATTACCCTAGGCCGGGGTGGCTAATTTGTGTCAGGAGAGCCACCAAGCCCAGCCTCACACAGGCATCATGAATCAATCACAATACTTTTTCTAGGTAGAAGTCTTTTCAATGCCAGGCACTATGCTTTATTGATTGAAATTGTGGAACTTCAAAAACATAAGGAAACAAATCATTCAAAACATATTTATGTCTAATTCTTGAATGTAATATGTGATGTCATTGAGCTACAGAAGTGACATGACTTTCTGTTTCACTTAGGTTTCCAGCATCTCAGGAGCTCACAGTTCAGAGGAAGCCATTCTCAGATGAAATGATGGTTAGACATAGGCTGCCTGAGGAAAGGCCAGCCTGTGACTCATTAGTTGACCATACTAGAGGCTGGCTTCTCACGTTGCTGAACTCATGGCAATGATAAATACAGGATTTTATCTTGGGCCCAGAAAACCTAGTGCTCTCAGATCTGAAATATTTGTCTTAGAGATATATGGGACCAATTTTTCAACTGTTTGGCACAGTCATTCCCATGGCTTTTCAATATTTAAATGAACCTCATAGACTTTCAACTAGAATAAGCATAGCAGAGAAAACACTCAGTTGGGCTATGGGTGATGTGCTGTTATGGCAATGACCAAGTTTGCATGATTTGGGAAGTGTTTTTTGAGAGCAAGCAAACATCAGCCATTCAGCTAGGTAAGTTCTAGGTGCCTGGAACTTTCAATGGAGTGACATTCTGTAGTGGCTTTGGTGACAGTAAGAAGGTAAGGAAATACTCAGTTAGCCATCATGGACAACTATAGAAAAGAAAATAACCTGCCCCTCTTATTATTCTTCAAATAGTCAAATCAGAGATTCAGATGTGTTCAAAATTGGTGGGGAGGAAAATATGGGACAGAAAGAATGGAGAGGAAAGAAGCAAGGAAAGAAATAACTGAGAAAGGGAGAAGAGAATCAAAGGTAAATGGTGAAAACACATTTGTTCCTGCCTATAAAAACATCTTGAAAACCTAGAATGTTATAGCAGGAGATATGCTAAAATATTAAAGGGTTTATCTTTCTTGGGGACCTCATGGGTAATTTTTTAACTTTTTCTTTGCAGTTTTCTAGTTCTTTCAAATCCTGTACATTAGGACATTATTTTTTACAATTGCTTATTTGGGAGGTTTTTTTTTTTAATACTGCTTTATTATTATTATTTTTTTTTGAGATGGGGTCTCACTCTGTGACCCAAGCTGGAATACAGTAGCATGATCACGGCTCACTGCAGCCTTGACTTCCCAGGCTGAAGCAATCCTCCCACCTCAGCTTCCCAATGTGCTGGGATTATAGGTGTGAGCCACCACACCCAGCAAAAATACTTGATAATCACAACAGCTTCTCTCTCTCAGATACATGTATAATAATGTGACTCCAGAGAGGGGTTTCTGCAATGTTTCCTGTAAATCTCATCCTCAAAAAATAAAGCCATACTTTAAATTCATCCAGACGGTAGCTTGTGAATGCAGTGACAGAAATGTACAGGTGGGTTCCCATCTAGCCCAACCTAAAGGGACACTTTCCTTTCATTGGGTACAAAGTATTCAGGTGGACAGTGAGCAACCCCTTCTCTGGGGCAGGTTAGCAGGCTGTCTGCTTCTGCATGTACCTGAGGATCTGTCTCCACAGATGGCACAGATGTGTTTAACCAGCGATCCAGGGCTGGTGGACGGGTAGTTCATGTTTCCAATCCCGGGAAGCCCTGCTAAGGGCTTGATGTCCTCTGAACTGCTGACACTGTTGACCACATTTAGCTGCAAGAGAAAAAAAATACTGTAAAGCACAGAGCCAGAGTAAACTCAATCCCAAAGGCCTAAGGCAACGAGGGCATACTCAAGAAAAAACAAGTTCTATTTCAAGAAACCGTTTCCAAGTGCAGAGTATTTGAAACTGCCTATCTGTGAGATGAACTTAAGGGAGGGAAAAAAATGTCATAGGAGGAACAAAATTATTTCCGGAAGCTAAAACCTAAACCAAAAATCATAACAACACAACTCCATTAGAGTCTCTCTGCTTTTATTCATTTTACTCATGTGTTTTATTTGAGCTAGAAATCCATACCAAATTACACACCTAGGACAATGTCAGCTGTGTATTTTAAAATTTTTATCAACTATTGACTGCCTATTCAGCCATGCTGCAAGAGGAGCTATGGCTCTCAGGCTAAAGACTTACACTCTAACAGAGCTAAGCAAAAAATGCAAATCCATTCATTAGTCAATCAACAGGCATTCCCCGGGCACTCAGCAAGCCAGACATTGTGCCAAGCTCTGGGGTACAAAGGCAAGGAAAAGTATACACCCAGAAGGAAAACACAGTGAAATGGAAAAGGACATGTGTAATGGTCATCTCTGCAAGCACATTGAAAACGCAGACTCGAATACCCAAATCATTGTAGTAGCACCAAAAATTGGGTAGAAAGCCTGAGATCTATGTTTTAAACTTGTTTGTAATAGATTATCTTCCTGTGAAACTGTAAAATCTGTAGAGCCAGAGGCTGTGCCTGCCTTGTGTTTTCAGCACCTTCCTCATGGAGCCCAGCATGTAGTAGAGAGTCAGTAGATTTGAATGGCTGTATAAATGTATCTTGTACTATCCCTTCCTCATCCCTTATTGTAAGTTAACATCAGCTCCCCACCACCACCTCTGTGTCTCCCAGTGCTCTTGGGAAGATTCCTAAGGAACTGCTGCTAAGCGTCTTGTTTCACCAAACAAAGTAAGTTGAATAAATTTGAGCCAGTGATCCAATCAGCAATAGAAACCTAGAAAGTATATCTCACATTCCTCAAAAATGTACAATGTCATCAAGGAGTTAGAACATGCACAAGAAAATAAGAACATTTACAAGCAAGCTCACATGAAGGTAGTGCAGGGTTTGTACTACCAGTAGAGGTAAACGTTTAGGGGTTAGGAACCACCGACTTCCCATGGTCTGTCTGAATTTTAAATCATATTGCCTAACCAAAGTGACAATAATTCTCAAACTGAATCAAAGGTAGGATTTTCCTCTCTATTCAAGGCCTTTGGGACAGAAGAAAAGTTCAATAAAGCAGAAACTACACAGAGCCTAAACTAAGTTCCTTCTAAATTCACTAGCTTTTTCAATTCACTAAGCAAATATTTATTGAGCGCAGAAGGCAAACAGAGGCTATCAGTTAAACGTTGTGAGGGATACAAAGAAGAAAAGACACAGCCTTTGGTGCTTTGTTTGGAAATCAACATCACTATTAATTTTTAAAAATTAATTTGCATAACAAATGACAACATGTGTGATCAAAGAATTCTCTCTTTCATCCTGCACCGCCCCCTTTTTTTACAGAAGGCTATAAGACATCTGGAACTTGTAACCAGCATTTTGTTTTCACAGGAAAACATTTTGTTTTCATACGTTCTTAACCCTGGGAGCTTTGAAGAAAAACATGGCCCCCATGTCTTGAGATTCTGATTCCATGAGTCTCAGGTAGGATCTCAGCTATAGCATTTTTTTTTTTTTTTTTTTTTTTCTCCCTGAGATGGAGTCTCCCTCTGTCATCCAGGTTAGAGTACAGTGGCGTGATCTCCAGCTCACTGCAACCTCCATCTCCCTGGCTCAAGCAACCTTTCCCCTGCCTCAGCCTCCCGAGCAGCTGGAATTACAGGCACATGCCACCATGCCGGCTATTTTTTTTTTTTTTTGTATTTTTAGTAGAGATGGGATTTCACCATGTTGGCCAGACTGGTCTTGAACTCCTGACTTCAGGCAATCTGCCCACCCCGGCCTCCCAAAGTGCTGGGATTACAGGCATGAGCCACTGCACTCGGCCAGCTTTGGCATTTCTTTAATTTCACCAGATAACGTTCATGTGCAGCCAGGGTCAAGAACCACTGCCGTAGTGTAACTACTAGGCAATAACTTTCCTCAAGGGCCTCAAAGAAACAGATGAGCACCTAGGTCCAACTGATGAAATGGAAGAATTTTAGGTCAGATGCCCCCCACAGAGATAGCCCTCTAATTGACCATGGTTCCATCCCCAAGTCCTCAGATGGACAAGAAAAGTCATGGGAAAAAGGAAGAAACCACCATCACCTGCGGCTCAAGAGGATCTCACCCTTCCTTCTCCTCCTATCCCTATCTCCAGCAGGACCAGCTCCACTGCCACCAACCTGCAGCAACCACAGAGAGTAATGATTGCCATTGCTACCGTCCTCGGAAAGCTTGCTCATTGCTAATTAATTATGTTAATCCTCACAACAACCCTTAGAGGTCTTCCTATTTACAGATAAGGACATTGAGACTTAAAGTGAGTTTATTCCTTTGTTTATTCAGAAATAATATGGAGATCCACAAAGGAGGGAGATGCAGGCACTGCCTGAAGCAACTGGCCATTAATGAGATTAAAAGTCAGTTTGGATTATTTAGGAAGGAAAGATCACATGCTATTGAGATCAGGGAAGACTTCATGAAGGAAGCTGGGACTTGACAGCCTTCAAAAATGGGTAGGATTTTGGATGGGCTACTTATGGGCAGAAAACTTTGAGAGCAGAGGCCTAGAGGGAAGCCCAAGTGTTTGTGGAGCAAAGATGTCTGGTGGATGGATGGGATATAAAGCTGAGAAGTGGGCTATGACAGAGCCTAGAAGCTGAATTGCCTGGATAGGAGAATGGATTTAGTTTGGGAAGCAATAAGCAGCTACTAGAGGTTTGGAGCAGAGAAATAATGACCTGAAACTACCTCAGTGAAGTAAATGAGGCAGAGCTTCAGGAAAGATTGAAGGAAACATGTAAGGCTATTGCACCTACTGGGACACCAGGTTAGGTACCTTGCCAGGCCTGACTGCTTGGAGCTAGAACACCAGGATCCTGGATTCTAAACCATCATGCCTCCTTTACCACCTTGTCTGCCTTGGGTGACAGGCGGTCCTCAATCCTCACCTGCCCTAGCAGCTTCCATCCCCACCTCCTTGGCCAGGAGCCCCTAGAGGAACATACTTGCTTTAAGGCACTTTCTCCCCAGTCGTAGCCAGCAGCCCCTCTCCAACACTCCTCCTCTTCATGAGTGGATGGTGGCGGGAGGGGCAGCTGGGACAGGTGGGTTGATGTTTTCTCTCCCCATCTCTCTGGCTGGCTTGGGGTTTGTTTTGGGCTCAGAGCAATGGCAGATGAGATCAAAGGCAGCCATCAGAGCATAAACCCATTAGCTGCCTGGTCCCCAAGTCCCCCATTCCCTGCTGTCTTGTTCCATTAGAAACAGTCTACTGAAATAAGCACTTTAGAGCCAGGATTCACCAGGCAACTCCTATCTGCTCCTGCACGCAAGCCGACTGCTCCCTGAGAACAGGAAAGAAACTTACTTGTCTGCTGGATTGTCTTCCCTTTTGCAGACTCAGCCAGGGACCAAATTCATTCTAGATGCTTCTGGAGCCATCCTTGAACACTGAGTCCTGCATTTCTGAGCTGTGTTCAGCCCAAATCCTTCTGCCAAAGGTTAGGCTGCAGGCAGGCCCTCCTGTTCCAGGGCACAGAATCCTTCCACTGGCACAGCCTTAATCTAGTTAGGGCCTTTGTCATAAGGGGTAATAAGCCTGGACCTCCGACCTGGGTTTGGTCTAAACCTGCCATTTCCTAGCCACGCCGTCTTAATCAGGTCACTTCACTTAGCAAAGACTCTATTTCCTCATTTCTAGGTGAGTGTGTGTATCGTTGGCGGGCAGAGAGGTTGAAGCTTCAAGCCTTTTGTCCCTGGCTCAACCAGATCTGCTTTTATCTTATGTATATATTAGGTTTCCAAATATGCTTTCATCTGAAGAAAAGACTTTATGACTTTATTTTTTAAAATCATCAGACTAGATGAACTTTAAAGTCTATACCAATTCTAACATTTGCAATTTTTACTTATTTTCTATAAAAATGCAGACAGATTTAAGAGGATAGTAATTCAGTTATCAATAAATACCTAAGCAGAAATTAGCAGTGATAGAACCCAGGTCAGGCTGCAGAGTTCAGGAGGGGAGAAAAAGACAGCAGTATCCCAAAGATCTGTAAGGCCCATTTCAGAGTCCAGTGAGCAGACATCATGCTGACAAATATGCAGTACACACACACACACACACACACACACACACACACACAGAGAGAGAGAGAGAGAGAGAGAGAGGAATGTTTCCTAGATCACATTATCTAAAAAGTACATAAATATCTTCCCAATTATATACTGATGTATTTAGAAATTGCATCACTCCGCTTAGATGCTCCCCAGACCAGGGATGGAATCTCATACACAATTTTGGTACCTTCCATGCCCAGTTCTGGGCCTGGTTCAATAAATGTTTGTTGAAATGAATTTCTCTAGAACCTTTCAGAAACACAGTACACCTGAATTACCTAAGTGTATAATACTATCACCTGGGAATAATCACAATACCAAGTTACTGCTATAGAGCAATGCACACCTTGAGAAGTGATTTTTAAATCCACATCTCCTTTGACATGCTTTAAAAAAAATCCCTGTAGGGTAATCAGGGCAAATATTTCTAACCTCACAATAAAGAAAAGGAAACTGAAACAGAAACAAGTTACAGTGGTTTGCAAAAGATTGCACAATTCCTGCCTTCATCGTACCAGTTCTGATCTCTTTACTCCTCAAGATAAAAAAATCCAACAGCTGCAAAAAGAGAAGCTCAAACAACGAAATGACAGAGCACAGAGTAGGAAACTGGCCCTGCCTGCTGCCCCCACCCCTAGACACTTCCTCCCCCCCCACACCCCCAAATCGTACTTACCCAAGACCCAGGTCACAGAATGAACATCCCTCCATCATTAATCCCTCTCAGCCCAGTCGTGGGCAAGGAAGGCAGGGTGCATATTAATAATCTGCCCAGATGATCCACAGGGTCCAGCTCACTGTGGCTAATACCAAGGCCTTTGGTCTGGTGTCGTCTTAACTGGGCAAAGCTTTGCTGCTGTGTGGTTCAAGGAGCCCAAGCCCAGAACACTGCTCAGGGTCTCAGGCTGTTGAGCTTCTCCAGCACTTGGCAAGCTTAATATAGCTCCCCAAAGCCAAACTTGGCCTTGGCCTCTGCACACAGCCCAGTTGGCCAGGACCAAAGCTTCCATCTGACCTTTCAACCCCAATCCCTCTGTACAGACATACGGTCCAGGAATAGTGGCCCTGCTACTCACACAGCTCTGAGGATGAATTGACTAGCCAGGCTTGGCTCAATCAGACTTGAGTGTGGTTGCTAAAAGCAGCCTTAGAGGGATGGTGCCTTGCCCAATTCCTACCCACAGGATCTGTCTACCACCTCCCCCTATTTTATTTCTTTTTAGATTCTGTGACTTTTATTTGAAACTATCTTGTTTATTCCTTAGGCTTTTGTCTTTCCTGACTGCTATTGTGTAAGTGCCATGACAGTACAAACTTTGCCCACCTTATTCCGTGCTTATCCCTAAAACTTAGGACACTAAAATTTAGAACCTGATGCATAGTAGGTCCACATAAATAGTTACTGGGATGAATGCCAATGCCTTTTGCAAAACTGTACTTTCATCCCAAAACTTCAATGTATTTTCTGTCTCTAACTACCAGATTTTACTGGCCTTCCTGAACTCTGTTCACAGGAAAGAAAGGTAATAAACCAACTTCACACATTATGAAGCATAGGGTATCAACGGCCCTGATGATTACGGTAGGTAGGAGTGGCATAAATGCATGTACACCCCTTCTGCTTCCCCATCCCCACTCCTCTGCACACTTTTACCCTCTCACTGGGGTCAAGGAATATATACCGAGCAATTTATAGGTCCTTCTCTTTGCTCCCTTCAGGTCTCCCCCTGACAGCGTACATGTAGCACCCAAGTTCAGTGTATCTGCATCATGTGGCCACCTCTCCCATAAGATTCCTTGGGAGCACTGATTATCCATCTTTTAATCCTTGGCAACCAGTAGGAAGATCTTGGGGTCACTGTGCAAGTCAGCATATAACAGAGCTGTGAACACAGGGCTGCAGGCCAGGGGACAGGTCCTCATTGTGGCTCTGTTTTTGTGGCTGTGTGAGGCTGGCCAAGTCACTTGGGCTCCCCAAGTCTTGCTACTTCATTTGTGGAAGAAAGGATTTGGATAGAATGAGCGATCCTCATTTGAGCAGGAGTAGGGCCGTGAGAATCCCCTGTGGGGCTTTTGCTTCCTTCACAAGGGCCAAAATATGGGATGAGGGAGAATGTGTACTCTGAAAAAGGTCCTGCAGGTGAGAACCATAAGATTAGAAACTGGGGTGAAGATAACTGGCCAAATTAGACCCAATAAAGTAGTTTATTTGGCCTGAGGAATGCTTTAAAAGTCTTTGACTTTGAACAGCTTTGAGGGAGCAGGGCAGCTCTCCACAGTCTACACCTGCCCTCATTCACTTACACACCCCTTGTTCACTCACCTGTGTTACCCGACTGGCCCCAGCTCCTGTAATCCCTACACTAGCTGATCTCTCAGGCCGTCTCCAAATTATCTATTCTATGGAGCAACACATTTTTGAAGTCCTTACTGTCCCTATGCTATAACTCCATATGAATTTGCTTTCAGACCCCTAGAATATGAGTTGTCTCAGAGGAGACTCCAGGTATGGTCACTGATGTTCTCTCTCTGGAGTAGCAGAAAATGCCAACATAAAAGGAGCCCTGCCTCTTCTTCAAAACTACAAAACTACATTCAAAGGACACTTTGGGACTGTGTTAGTAATCTCCAGAGAAACAGAATCTACAGGAGGAGAGTGTGTGTGTGTGTGTGTGTGTGTGTGTGTGTGTGTGTGTTTAAAATTTTATTATAAGCAATTGTCTCACATGATTATGGAGGCTGACAAGTCCCAGGATCCACAGGGTGAGTCAGCAAGCTGGAGACCCAAAAAAGCTCATGGCATAGTCCAAAGGCCAGCAGGCTTGAGACCCAGGAAGAGCAAATGCTTCGGTTCAAGTTCAGAGACAGGAAAAAAATAATGTCACAGTTCAAAGGTCATTAGGCAGGAAAGTTTCCTGTTACTCAGAGGACGGTGAGCTTTTTTGTTCTATTCAGATCTTCAACTAATTGGATGATGCCCACTCACATTAGGGAGGACAAACTCCTTTACTCAGTCTACCTTATTTAAATGTTCATCTAATCCAAAAACACCCTCAAAGAAACACCCAGAACAATGTTTAACCAAATGTGAGGGCATCCTATGGCCCAGTCAAGTTGACACATAAATTTTGCCATCCTAAGAACCTGCCAGTTCTGCCTCTAGGTGTGCTGGCAGATGAGGCAGCAGAGATCCTTGCTATTACACAGGAAAAGAAGAAGGTGTGGCAGATGGGATTATTGTTCCTAATACTTCACTCCTTCTAGTCCTTCATATTCTTTGCATCGTGTCTCTGTAGTACCTCCCGCTAGTATAGACACAGCTTTCTTCCTTCCCTCATCAATGTTGGAATCAGTCATATGGTTTTCTTAAGCTGATGGAATATCAGTGGGCATGATTTGAGCAGAGACTTCACTGTGCTTTCTGGATTGGGTTTGGACTTTTGTACTTCTATGATACCCCATGAGAAAAGCATGCCATAGGTAGCTACTGCTCCTTTACAATGGGACATGATGAGCCTGAAGCTGAGTCTATTCACCCACTAACTGAAGCAGAGCCATCTATCCTAGCTTAAGGTAGGCATATGAGTGAGAAGATAAGAGTTTGAGGATTTTTGTTATGTGGTATTATTGCAGCAAGAGCCAACCACTACAAGAGGGGAAAGGTGATGACCTTAGTGTGGCATTGCTAGAATGAAGTAAAGACATCTGGCCATCCTATAGGCTCTGCAGAGCAACAACCTAGCATGAACCATGCACATACCTCTTCTCTTCCTTCATGACAGAAGGCACTCGAAATTAACGTGGGTAAAATTTCCTTCTCGACTTCCCATAGTTTTAGAGACAGCATGCAACACAGTGTGCCTTGCTCTCAATTTGTCCACTGCCATACCTGCCTATTTCTCCTCTCAGCTGTAAGCTCTGGAGAGCAATGACCATACCCTGATTGTTTCTGCATTACCTTTAACAAGAGCACATGGCACTTCAGTGACTCAATAAATGCTCATGATTGAATTGAGAGGAATAAAAGGGGTCCACTCTGCTGATGCGAGTTGTCCATAAACAACCCTAGAGATGTTGAAATCACAGCCAGTGTTGAACTACTAAAACCACAAGGGAGGGTCCCTTTTGGTCACAGTCTCCTGGACCATGAGGAGTCGTCAGGTCTTCAGGACTACTCAGCCTGAGGACACACGCAATGAAGACCCTGCCTGAGGGACATCTGCAGACACCATCCAACCCCTTCAGCAAGCACGCGTTACACACATGCTAAGTGCTGGTTCTGCTCCAGGGGCAGCCTGGGTGAAACCACATAAGACAGCTGGAAAGGCCTTGGAGAGGAAGAACACCTACCTGAGAGCTGGGTGGGGCAACCAGGTTGATTCCTGGAGGGGCTGCCAGTGCTCCTGTGGGTGGGCCCATGGCAGAGGTGATGACTCGATATGGAGAGCCCAGGGCATTAAGGGGGGTCCCCACTGCACTCAGAGTCCGTGGGGCACTCACTGGGGTGTCCGTGTAGCTGGGGTGGCTGTCCATTGGTTTCCCCGTGGACAAGGCTGCCGACGGGCTCATGGATGTAGAGCCAGTGTGGCCAGGGGAGCCTGTAAGGAGAAAAAGAATATAGGTGGTCGGAGGCTGGGAGGCATGAAAAGGGGCCCTGTGGAGACAGAGGCCCAGCCCCACCTTTCTTTCCTGTATCCTGCCCTTCCTTTTAGCCTACATGCCTGTGAGCCCTAGCTGCTCTCACTTACACTATCCTGATGATATAAAGAGAATCGAAGGAGACAGAGGGGAGAGGGCCCGCCCTAGGACAGAAATAAGCATGGATGTTTTATTTCTCTGGGGCCCAGACTGAATCCACTCTGGACTATGCCAGATCTACAGCCAATGGAACAAGGGGTACAGCCCAGAAGCCCTGGCCTGAGTGACTATGGCCTGGGCCAGCCAGCCAGGGAAGGTGAGTCTATACCAAACCTCAAGTGCAGTGAGTGAGTAGGTTCCCAGAATTCCCTGCCTAGAACTCATATTGCTCTGAGAATAGGGGCAAGGCTGAGATTCATTCATTCATTTAAACCTAACGAACATTTATTAGGGTGCCAGGTGCTGGGGATTCAGAGCTGAAGAGCACACAGTCACTGACATCAGGGGAAGGTAGAGGCTGTGTCATACCCCTGGTTTCCTATATCTTTTTAAGGTTTATGTACATGATGTTCTTGTCCTGTCCATCTCCATAGCACAGGGTTAATTAGCACTCAGGGGAGAAGACTTGGAATGGACTAGGCATGGCTTTATGGCCACAGAGGGCCAGGAAGCACAGGAAGGCAAGTGCAGACAGGCCTGCTGAGGCCATTTCTGCCTCTGAGAAGAGAATGCTGCACCCACAAATGTCTGTGGAACAGGGTCTGGGCGAGGAGGTCATCAGTACCACTTTCTTCCAATAAATTGAGCCCATATCCCCCTATAGTCAAAAGCAAACTCGAGATGAAACAGAAGAGGGGCCTCCTGTCATCTTGAGAGCCCCACATGGAACATTCTCTCCATAAGAGAGGAGCTGTAAGCTTTAGGAGGTGTGGCAGCAAAGCAGAGACTAGAAATCACCACAGGGCAGCCCACCGTGGATCACATCACTAGATCCCTGTGCAGGCAGCATGCAAGAACAGATGCGAAGTAGCCCTGTGCACAGCAGCTGCATGCGACGCATCCATGGCACCCATGCCATGGATAGAAAGTGAGAGGATTAAGTGCTCAGTAAACATGGTCTGCTGGAGAAGCTACCCCATTCTTGGATGCCTACTGTGGGTCAGATACCTTGCCAAACAGATGTGATATGGAGTGGAGGAAGTCATATGCCTGATGTTATGTGACTCACTATTCATCCAACACGTACTTCTTGAGGGCCTGCTACATGCAAGGCACTGTCCTAAGCCTTTGGGCAACATCAGTGAGTGCTAAGTGTAGTGTTAGGAGCAGGATGCTGGGAGGAACTTGCTTCCTTCAAGTTCTGGAGGAGAGCGGGAAGCGTCAGAAATATAACTGTGATCCAAGATGGCTGATCACTAGCAGCTCAGGATTGCAGCTCCCACTGAAAGAGCAGAGAACGAGAGGACGCCACACTTTCAGATCAATTTTTGTTGCTCACACATCAGGAGATTCCCAGCGGAGGAGCCCCACGTGTCGCCAGCGTGACTCTTGAGGCCGGTGAGGCGGTTTTGCCGCTGCCTTGGTGTGGCGGTTCTTGGTGCAGAGTCAGAAAAGCACCATCAATCTTAAAGCCGCTGTTTTGGCCGGAGCAGTGGGTTGCTCAGATTCTAGCGCCAGGAATCAACAAGTTGGACGTCCATTCAGAAACTCAACTATAAAGACGGTAATTATAAAGACCACAGATAGATAAATTTATAATAAAGGGAAGAAGCCAGCCTAAAAAGGCTGAGAATACCCAAAATCAGAATGCCTCTCCCTCTACAGGGGATCACAGTTCCTCATCAGAAACAGAACAAGGCTTGATGGAGAAAGACTGTGTTCCATTAGCAGAAGCTGGCTTTAAAAAGTGGATGATAAGAAATTTCTGGGAATTAAAAGAACTTGTTCTAACCCAATGCAAAGAAACCAAGAACTTTGAAAAAAGGTTTGAAGAAATGTTAACAATAACACACAATTTAGAGAGGAATATAAGTGAATTAATGGAGCTGAAAAATACAACACGAGAACTTCGCGAACTATGCACAAGTTTTAACAGCCGAATTGATCAAGCAGAAGAAAAGATATCAGAGGTCGAAGACCAACTTCATGAAATAAAACAAAAAGACAAGATTAGAGAAAAAAGGATAAAAAAGAACGAGCAAAGTCTCCAAGAAATATGGGACTATGTGAAAAGACCTAATCTACGTTTGATAGGTGTACCTGAATGTGACGAAGAGAATCAATCCAAGCTGGAAAATATGCTTCAGGATATTATTCAGGAAAACTTTCCTAACCTAGCAAGGCAGGACAATATTCAACTCCAGGAAATACAGAGAACACCACAAAAATATTCCTCAAGAAGACCAACCTCAAGGCACATAATCGCCAGATTCACCAGGGTTGAAATGAAAGAGAAAATACTGAGTGCAGCCAGAGAGAAAGGTCAGGTTACCCATAAAGGGAAGCCCATCAGACTCACAGCAGATCTCTCAGTAGAAACCCTACAAGCCAGAAGAGAGTGGGGGCCAATGATCAACATCCTTAAAGAAAAAAACTTTCAACCCAGAATTTTACATCCAGCCAAACAAAGCTTCATAAGCGAAGGAAAAATAAAATCTTTGTGAACAAGCAAGCACTCAGAGATTTCATCACCACCAGGCCTGCTTTACAAGAGCTTCTGAAAGAACCACTACAAATAGAAAGGAACAACCAGTATCAGCCTTTCTAAAAAGTACCAAAAAATAAAGAACATCAACATAATTAAGAAATTGCATCAACTAATGGGCAAAACAGCCAGCTAACATTAAATGACAGTATCAAACACACATATATTGTTATTAATTCTAATCTTAAATCGACTAAATCCCCCAATCCAAAGACACAGACAGGCAAAAAAAGCCAAGACCCATTGGTATGCTACATCCAGATCCATCTCACATGCAAGGATACATAAAGACTCAAAACAAAGGGATGGCGAAAAATTTGCCAACCAAATGGAGAGCTAAAATAAATAAATAGAAAGCAGGAGTTACAATTTTGCTGATAAAATAGATTTCAAAGCAACAAAGATCAAAAGAAGCAAAGAAGGATATTACATAAAGATAAAAGGATCAATGTAACAAGAAGAGCTAAAGATCCTAAACATATATGCACCCAATACAGAAATACCCAGATATATAAGACAAAGAGACTTGGACCCCCACACAATAATAGCGGGAGACTTCAACATCAATATTAGATAGATCAATGAGACAGAATGTTAACATCGATATCCAGGATTTGAACTCAGATCTGGAACAAGTAGACTTAATTAACATTCATAGAACTCTCCACTTTAATACACAAAATATACACTCTTATCAGTACTACATCACATGTATTTACAGGTTTAAATGAAATATTGGTTAGCTGCTTGTTAATTATTTTCTTCCCTCATTTTTATGTCTCTATTATTAAACACAATTACAGGCATACCCAGTTTTAGACTGCATTCTAGCCCGGGCAATAAAGCAACACCCCTGTTCTCTCTCCCTCTTCCTCTTCCTCTTTCTTCCTTTCCTTTATTCTTTTTCTTTTTTTTTTTTTTTTTTTCTTTTTTTTTTTTTTTTCTCGTTCAAAAAAAAAAAAAGAAATATAACTGTGAAACTACTCCTAAACATAAATATCCTACTGGAAAAAGATGTCAACCTGCAGTTTCTCTTGGAGCTTTTGCTAGCTTAGTTAAGGGCTACTTGTGGAAAGAAGTCACTCCAAGGAAGCTGTGACCCTCTTATCATTTTACCTATGGAGCTTCGGCCTGTCAGGGACAATTGCCTCATAAACGGATAGGTCCCAATACCCCATGTCTTAAGTACTACAACCAGGGAGGAAACAGGCTGTGGGCCCACAGGGGAGTGGCAAAGGGGTTAAAATGAATAACTCAAACATTTATTATGTGTCCTCAATAGCATCAGGCAATTTCCATAACTCTTTATCTTGACCATAAGCCTATGAAGTCATTTCAGCCTTTTGCAGATGAGAAACTTAAGGCTCCATCTAACTGCAAACCATTCTCAGTTTCAAGATGATTTACCTCTGCCTCCATTGTCTAGATGCTCTTATTCATCCTTCAAGGTCTAACTCATGTACCACCTCCTCCAGGAAGCTTTTCCTGGTGTTCCTGGTCTGGTTTGCTACCCTTTTTTGGTTTTCTAAAACTGTCTGTACTTACTCACATCTTGCATTTGTTATGCTGTATCGCCGTATTTGTTTATCCCCCTGTCTTTCCTCTAAACAAAAAGGAAAAAAACCAGGTCCAGTTTTGTTTCTCCAACTCTATCAGAGTATCTGGCACTGCCCAGGTAGTAACTGGCAAAGCCTCAATTCGAATTGTCAATCTGAAACCCCCACTTTCCTCTGCGTTTGCTGTCAAGGACAGCAGAGATGATTGGAGAGCCATCTGCACCAAGAGTACAAGATGACTCAATTCTGAAGTGATCTCAAGCTGAAAGTTCATCTGAAGGAGAGAAAAGAGGGCAGCACTCAAGAACTAAAGCCAAAAAAACCAAGACTCTTTTCAGATGGCCACTAATTGGAAAGAGCAGTTTTAGACTCTTCCAAGGCCCTGGGGGCTCTGACATTTAACGAGGCTAATGTATACCTTGAGTCTGTTACTAAGATAAAGTGTGACAGGTGAGTTAGGAGCCAGCCCTGACTCAATGGACTAGAAGCCATAAACTCCACTGGGAAGGCAGCTGTCCTTCCCCACGACCAAGCTATCTGAAGGAAACTGACTTTCCCTTTTTCCTTAGGCTTGCCCAAAACAGACCAGATGACCCTGCAACTTTCCTTCTTATTCTGCTTTAAACAGATAGAAAGATCGCGCCTTCTATTTCTTTACCCCCAGGGTCAAGAACCAAAGCCTGACACCAGGCCTAGGCCA